TCAAAATGCACCTGATATTAGGGAGGAACCTTTGGACTCTGGTAGTATGCCATTCAATGATAGTTATGACATATCAATACCTAGATTTAAATCTATGATGGATTTATACACAGAAAAAATTGATGAMACTGAAATTGAAAGAGTAGAGCGTATCACAAGAGGGCAACATTCCAATCAGGCGTGGAGAGACCTAAGAAAAGTGAAACTTACAGCATCTAATTTCTACTCTGCAGCTGTCAGGAAAAAGGAGCCAGATGCTCTTTTACACTCTATAATGTATCAAGATAGTAATCTYTCAGCCCCATCYCTTAGATTTGGCAGAGAACATGAAGAYGATGCTGTTCAGACATACCTTACAATGAAAAGAGCAGATGGGAATCATGCTCTCGAGGTACATGAAGTTGGAACAATTCTATCAAAAGAAGAACCTGGCCTAGGAGCTAGCCTAGATAGGAAGGTTATTGATCCACTTGCAAAGGKCATGAAAACTGGGGGTCTTGAAATTAAATGTCCTTACTCAAAACAAGGGATGTCTGTGGAGGATGCATGCAAGGATGAAGCTTTTTTCTTGGGTATCAATGGCAGTGGGCAGCCACAACTAAAAGTTGGTCACAAGTACTATTATCAAGTTCAAGGACAAATGTTTGTATGTAATTTAGAGTGGGTGGATTTTGCCACATGGTTTGGYGATGATGTCATATTTATTGAACGCATTTACTTTAATAAAGAATGGTGGTATAAGACTGCATTACCAAGGATAATGCATTTCTATAAAAGAGCATTCCTACCTGAAGTTTTAACCAGAAGAGTWCAGCRTGGTGTCAAACTATACAAGCATGGGGGTTGGAAACACTTTAAATAATAAAATGCTTTCCTTTCTATTAGATTGCTTGCAATATATATGTGAAACATCAGTTGCTAGATAGTAACTAGTAGTCACTATTGGTCAACCAGTACATTGTTAATAACAATATAATTGGGTCTCTAGTRTATGKGGTGTCTCAAGTRTATTGTTTAACAATATTCTGGTTCAGTGATAGTGACAAAATAGTTACTAACTAGCAACTATATAGCTACTAACAACTTTGATGATATTTCACAGGTATAGTGCAAGCACTCTAATTAATATTATATKAGTTTGTGAAGAGAAATTTATGTAATGAAATTTAACTATATTTTTCATATACATCACAATAGATCTACAAGCAGAAGGCCACTTTGTAGAGATACATAAGTATTTTGACATGTATTGACTGTGACATATCTCAACAGTCATTTTTGACATTGAAGAATTGCAGTGCAAACATTTTGACCTAAGAATGAACACACCCAATAAATAAAACAAGATAACTTAAATTAATTTCTTACTTTTCCTTTGGGGGAAGGARAGGAGGTAAAAAGTTTGTCAAGTATGCACATACACTGAATGTCTGGTCAGCAAGGTGAGCCAAGCTGAGGGGCAGGGTACCATCAAGGATGTGATAATTTTTTATTCGCCCAATTGCACGCTCCACATGGATCCGCACAGCAGCTATGCGAGCAGTTTCTCTTACTTCCTCTGCAGACAGCTGAGCACGAGCACCTTTAAACGGGGGGATATTCAGGCCAACCCCAGCTGGCAAGATGTCAGTAATGTCAAAGCCTCTATCTGCCATGACGTTATCTCCTGACTGCAAATGACGAATTAGTCCAGATTTTTGGGTGATAAGTTTATCAGATACACGACCTCCCCATAACTTTGAAATAAATATAACTTGGCCATTTGGAGAAATGCCCACTAATACCTTGAAGGTATTATGATGTTTGTAGTTTGACCATGTCTGAGWTTGGGCTTTCATGGAGGATGGAACCTCTACAAATACCTCAGTACAATCAATTATGACTCTGGTAGTTGGGTAGAGGGCAAACTGTTCTGGCATATTTTGTCTTATTGTATCTTGACTTGGGAATGGAAAAAGGGATTCAGTCTCCAAATGTAGAAAATTAATCCATGTAGAGTAAATTTTGCTGACATGCCCAACAGAAATCCCAAATCGATCAGCAATATCTTTCACAAACAGCCCTACTTTGAGTCTTACTAGTACAAGAAACAGTTCTGTAAGAGAGGTTAATGAGCGTTTTATTCCAGGCTTCTTCTTTCCCTCCTCCTGATAAGGCTGGGAGTCTTGGATGTTCTTCGATCCCCAGTACTGAAGCTTTGCAGCTTTGGGTTCAAGATATTTATGAAATGCGATAAGGGCCTCATAGTTAGGGAAGCCAGTATAAAATTGGATTGCAGAAGGGTCATCTTTAAATTTGTTTAGAGAAACCTCTCTCTACTTGTAACTGTCTAAGTCCTTCTGCAATTGTCCAAGTTTAGCCTTCAGCTTATTAAGTTCTTCCTCTTTTACTTCCAGYCTTTCACGCATGGCCTCCACAAGGTCTCCTCGGTTATCTTGCTTGAATGTAAATGCGTACGTGTGGTCACTGGTGTCCTTTTCAGGCAACAGATAAAAGTCTGTCTGCACACACTTGTCTGCCATGCCACAGGTTTCTGATTCAAGTGAATATACCTCAGTGTGTGTCTCCTCGACTGATTCCTTGACAACTATTTGTTCAGAAGCCAGGATGGACTCTTCGATGACCTGTTGCAGGTCTRACCTACCGATATGTTGTTTTGAGACTTTAGAAGCAGTCTTTTTTCTTTTCTTGGTCGGGAGAGCAATACGGACTGCCGGAAGCTTTCTTTTTGGAGGGAGAGGCTTCATGCCAGGAATATTTTTGGAAGGTTCTGCCCCTGTAAAGAATACTTCGTTAGTTTAACACCCTATCAATATCTGAGCAGAAATTTTAGAAAGAAATGATTTCCAAAATTATATGCCTACDGTTTGTGAGTATTAGAAAGACTGTCAGAACAAAATTTGAAGCTCCATAATGTAAGCTTACAGATAATCCTTCGAGCTAAATTTCACTTATTGTACCTGCTTTCAATCTGACTTTTCCTCCATAAGATTTGGTCATATCGCTTTCTTGGAAATGAT